CTATCAATCTAAAGGAGACTGCGACCACACCAGAGACCACAACATCTTGGTCTTCATATATTCACTCCCTGATAAAGTTGCGAAAACGATATCAACCACATATAGCTACCCAGATCAAGATGTTGTGGCCTCTATTTTGGTCGCAGTCTCCTTTCGGTGTATACTAGTTGCTTGACGAGTTGTAGCTTGGTGCTGAGAATAGCAAGACGCACTGACGATGCCGGCGAAACGTCAGGGAATGTACTAAGTCCACTGTCCGGCTCTGGAGATTATCTTGCATACTATGGACTCCAAACAAGATGCGTTACTCTAGGTCTTCCTGCCAATATGACCAAGTTGAAACAACAACGTCAAACAACTACGATATTAACCAACATTTTTGCAGCCTAAGTGAACTACGATAAAACCTATGATCATATCACAATGATATTGGAAGGTCGTTTCTATTCGTCTCCCTCAAACAATAGATCTGTCTTAAATACTCCAATTGACTGCCTGCTAATATATCATTTTTGCCCTCTGTGCGCGACAATTGAAAGTATGCACTGGTGGCGGCAGATTTTTACAATTGATCCTCCCACATTGATACTCCGCATGCACCAGATTGCTACTTTGTACTATCTCAGTCCAAAACTCTTGCTAGCTCCGTTAAATGAAGCCAGATCCAGTTCCTTCTCATTTACCCTCATTTTGTGACTATACCTTGGTGGCGTAGAGATTTCTATAACTGCCTTTATGGTCAGATGGTAAATGTATGATAGTTTCGATGCTCTTTCTAAATATTTCTCGCCCTTCGATTTGGGTTCTTGGTATTCTTCCTCCATTGAGTAGTTACTTATACATTTCTGTCTAAGGTATCGTTTATTCAAAGATTGGGCCCGAAGAAATTCTAGCATGTATATCATTTTTTTAATACTCGTAGGCTGTGATTAATAAATTATGATATCCCTTCTACGAGCCACATCATCCTAGAAGTTTATCTCCTATCCTCCACCCATTTCTTGTGGCCTATACTAATGTTTGATTCATCTCGGCTTAATCGACCATCAAATTGACGTATAAGGACCCCACGATGTCCAGCTAATACTACTAATCTTTTGTCGTTAAGTAAGAGGTAAATATTTTTGGTATAAACAAGGATCTTTCTTCACACCAAGTAGACTTCAAGACTATCTGCAAGTCATGAATAAGTGTTCTACTCGTCCTAGATCGTTAAAGGTGATGAAAAACGGATAGTTGAATATACCCACAATCAGAGGCTTAGTTGCAGGATCATTTCTGTTTATCTTCTTCAAACACTAGCTCCATTTTTAATAATGCCTTTCAATGCATGCCAAAATATTATTTTGCTCCATTAACGTAGCCTCATGATGCCATTACATTTCGCTTAGTCCTGCTTCCGAAAAAATATACCCATTCAGGCTAGACTGCTGTTTCAACCTAACTTTGCTATCATAAGCACTTCCATCAGGAACCAAACTCGGATAGTGCAGGATATATGCCCAAAATGTTACCACTACATACTACTGACACGAGTTCCCATGGGTCATAGGTCAGACGTGAATACTAAAGAAGACCACACCATTACCATCGATTAGACTACTTATATTCTTAACAAGTAGACTTCGGGAATATCAGTAATTGTTGAAAGATAGTTTTAGCCATTCTAGGTCGCGTGAGGTAATGAAAGACAGAACGTTGGATTTTCCAATTATGAGGAGGGTTGGCCATTAGATCAGTAAAACTAGGATAATATTATCTTCTACATATAAACTCTGGCCCTTTAGCATTACAGTGCGTATAACGATTCTAAAGAGTATGATTTTAAAATTTACATAAAGAAAAGCTGTGTTAAGAGGAATCCCTTAACGATCTAGAGTGGCATGACTTTTGTTATTGAAGTGAACATTCGTGAATTAGTCCCATTGGAAGCCGAAAGGGGATTGATTGCCTTGGGATTAAGACTATTGGATTGTGAAAAAGAATTGTCGGCTCACCGTTCTACGATCTCGTTTAACTCTGGCTAAACCGTCGTCTGTCAAATGACAGGTATCGTCAGAGCGATAATCCATCAGTTAAGAGGAAATACGCCAGAAAAAATAAGCCTAAATTCTTTTCGAAATGCTTTTACCCGAACTTATACTGATTTTTCTCATCAGGAAGCTATGCCCACAGGATCGTTCATAATTAGTACTGTGTTCGATTGTAGTATAAAGTATATACTTTC